GTTGAGATGATGTGGAGCGATTTTGAGGCGAATCGGTGAAACGGCCGAGGAGGAGTCGCTTTCCAACCGACATGTATGAGAACTTTTGCTGTTCATTTTGCCATTTTGCAGTGAAATTTATGGGCTTCCTGTTTGTCAGGGGGTGGAGCCATAATAATATTTTTTTCTTGTCTTGACTATAGGAACATGTGTACCGAATTTCATGGCTCTACGACAAATTTGATCTCTAAAAGTCCCATATATTTTGGCTGTTGTAGGTGGCGCTGTTCCGGCATTTTTTGAGTCCCATTAAAATAAACACCAAAATATCAAATTTTTCGCCAGGTCTGATTTTTGGGCAAAATTTAACAACTTTTCATGCATGTTCAGGGGGTCAAATTAAGGCTCAAAGTGCAGAAGAAAAAAGAAAGAAAGAAAGAAAGAAAGAAAGAAAGAAATAAATAAAAAAGGAATTTTTTTTTGACGTCTCGAGCAAAAACAATATAGGTTTCAATGGCACGTGATACATAATTTTAAAGCTTTTGAGTTTACGCAGGCAACCGTCACGTTTTGGTGAGTGACGGGCGCTGACGCGTCCGTCACGCACCGCCACCATTTGTTTTCACCATTGTGAAAGCAATAGGCCCTTACCCCGTTCGGGGCTCGGGCCGAATAAATAAAAAAGGAATTTTTTGTGACTTGTCTCGAGCAAAAACAATATAGGTTTCAATGGCATGTGATTCATCATTTTAAAGCTTTTGAGTTTACGCACGCAACTGTCACGTTTTGGTGAGTGACGGGCGCTGACGCGTCCGTCACGCACCGCCACCATTTGTTTTCACCATTGTGAAAGCAATAGGCCCTTACCCCGTTCGGGGCTCGGGCCTAATAAAAAAGGAATTTTTTTTTTAACGTCTCGAGCAAAAACAATATAGGTTTCAATGGCACGTGATACATCATTTTAAAGTGTTTGAGTTTACGCACGCAACCGTCACGTTTTGGTGAGTGACGGGCGCTGACGCGTCCGTCACGCACCGCCACCATTTGTTTTCACCATTGTGAAAGCAATAGGCCCTTACCCCGTTCGGGGCTCGGGCCTAATAAATAAATAAAAAAGGAATTTTTTTTTTAACGTCTCGAGCAAAAACAATATAGGTTTCAATGGCACCTGATACATAATTTTAAAGCTTTTGAGTTTACGCACGCAACCGTCACGTTTTGGTGAGTGACGGGCGCTGACGCGTCCGTCACGCACCGCCACCATTTGTTTTCACCATTGTGAAAGCAATAGGCCCTTACCCCGTTCGGGGCTCGGGCCTAAAAAAGGATTTTTTTTTTTAACGTCTCGAGCAAAAACAATATAGGTTTCAATGGCATGTGATACATCATTTTAAAGCTTTTGAGTTTACGCACGCAACTGTCACGTTTTGGTGAGTGTCAGCGCCCGTCACGCACCGCCACCATTTGTTTTCACCATTGTGAAAGCAATAGGCCCTTACCCCGTTCGGGGCTCGGGCCTAAAAAGGAATTTTTTTTTTAACGTCTCGAGCAAAAACAATATAGGTTTCAATGGCACCTGATACATAATTTTAAAGCTTTTGAGTTTACGCACGCAACCGTCACGTTTTGGTGAGTGACGGGCGCTGACGCGTCCGTCACGCACCGCCACCATTTGTTTTCACCATTGTGAAAGCAATAGGCCCTTACCCCGTTCGGGGCTCGGGCCTAATAAAAAAGGAATTTTTGTTTTAACGTCTCGAGCAAAAACAATATAGGTTTCAATGGCATGTGATACATCATTTTAAAGCTTTTGAGTTTACGCACGCAACCGTCACATTTTGGTGAGTGACGGGCGCTGACGCGTCCGTCACGCACCGCCACCATTTGTTTTCACCATTGTGAAAGCAATAGGCCCTTACCCCGTTCGGGGCTCGGGCCTAAAAAGAAAGAAAGAAAGAAATAAAAAAGGAATTTTTTTTTAACGTCTCGAGCAAAAACAATATAGGTTTCAATGGCACGTGATACATCATTTTAAAGCTTTTGAGTTTACGCACGCAACCGTCACGTTTTGATGAGTGACGGGCGCTGACGCGTCCGTCACGCACCGCCACCATTTGTTTTCACCATCGTGAAAGCAATAGGCCCTTACCCCGTTCGGGGCTCGGGCCTAATAAATAAATAAAAAAGGAATTTTTTGTGACTTGTCTCGAGCAAAAACAATATAGGTTTCAATGGCATGTGATTCATCATTTTAAAGCTTTTGAGTTTACGCACGCAACTGTCACGTTTTGGTGAGTGACGGGCGCTGACATGTCCGTCACGCACCGCCACCATTTGTTTTCACCATTGTGAAAGCAATAGGCCCTTACCCCGTTCGGGGCTCGGGCCTAATAAATAAAAAAGGATTTTTTTTTTTGACGTCTCGAGCAAAAACAATATAGGTTTCAATGGCACGTGATACATCATTTTAAAGCTTTTGAGTTTACGCACGCAACCGTCACGTTTTGGTGAGTGACGGGCGCTGACGCGTCCGTCACGCACCGCCACCATTTGTTTTCACCATTGTGAAAGCAATAGGCCCTTACCCCGTTCGGGGCTCGGGCCTAATAAAAAAGGATTTTTTTTTTTGACGTCTCGAGCAAAAACAATATAGGTTTCAATGGAACGTGATGCATAATTTTAAAGCTTTTGAGTTTACGCACGCAACCGTCACGTTTTGGTGAGTGACGGTCGCTGACGCGTCCGTCACGCACCGCCACCATTTGTTTTCACCATTGTGAAAGCAATAGGCCCTTACCCCGTTCGGGGCTCGGGCCTAATAAATAAAAAAGGAATTTTTTTTTTGACGTCTCGAGCAAAAACAATATAGGTTTCAATGGCACCTGATACATAATTTTAAAGCTTTTGAGTTTACGCACGCAACCGTCACATTTTGGTGAGTGACGGGCGCTGACGCGTCCGTCACGTCACGCACCGCCACCATTTGTTTTCACCATTGTGAAAGCAATAGGCCCTTACCCCGTTCGGGGCTCGGGCCTAATAAATAAAAAAGGAATTTTTTTTTTGACGTCTCGAGGCAAAAACAATATAGGTTTCAATGGCACGTGATACATCATTTTAAAGCTTTTGAGTTTACGCACGCAACCGTCACGTTTTGGTGAGTGACGGGCGCTGACGCGTCCGTCACGCACCGCCACCATTTGTTTTCACCATTGTGAAAGCAATAGGCCCTTACCCCGTTCGGGGCTCGGGCCTAATAAAAAAGGATTATTTTTTTTTATAGTATTTCACAATAAAAAAGCATTAAAGTAACAATCTAAAAATAATAATGAGATAATATTATTTACAGTATAGACTAAGGCCCCGTCCCAATTCTCACCCTTAGGTGTGAGTGCCCTAGGGGCCAATATGGATCTAGGGGACAATATGCAAATGACGCAGCAGACGTGTTCCACGTCACACACATTATTAAAGTGTGTGATTTCACCACAGATGAGATCTGACACAGATATGACTTTATGAAACAGTTTTTACTAAAATGAGACGTTTTTAATTCTATTTCATATGAAGATTTGCTATAATTAGGTACAGAACTGATGCACATCACGCACACAGAGACAGACGTGCACAGACACACATGTACACACACAGACACACACACACACACAGACGGACACATACACGCACAGAGACAGACGGGTACAGCCGCGGTCCCGCGGATCACAAAGCAAACTGTGTCAAAGCGAAGCTCTGAACTACAACATGGATCTATAATAATAACGTGCACCACGTCTCTGAAGCCTCAGTGAACGGCACTCGCTGCAGCCACTTCGGGAGCGAACGCCACCGCACACGGCACCAACACACGCTTTAAAACTAACTCGCACACGCTTTGGAGCTTGCTCATGTTCCGCACGTTGTTTTTTTATGTTATTTTCTTTCATTGTGACGCGGCTTTGCCCGACTGCTGCTTTACCAACAACTCTCGTAATGCATCATGGATCACCCTCGCTCGCAAGTGAGCTCCGGACCTCCAGAAGTATTGGGACACCCTTCCACTCCCGCGGGCACGCGCAAACTCTAGGGCAAGTGTGCTTTTTAAGGGCAAGGGTGAGAATTGGGACGCGGCCTTAAGCTGCTTTTAAGACTGAGCAAGAGTTAATTAAGACTGGCTTAGACGGTTCTTTTGATAAAACAAAGAAGTGTAAACAAGTCTACCACTGAAACATGTCAGGTAATTAACCAGAACTGGTCTTATCAAACCTTGAACCTTCTAACCATTAAAAGTATATAGAGGATTTTCACACATTTTGGAATGAACCGCTCTCTTGTAAATGTCTCCATCGTGAGATCAATAAAGTTTATCTTATCTCCAGAGGGAACGCCTACTAAAGCGCATGTGAGAGACGTGCACGCCCTGTTCACTGTCGGCCTCTTCAGTTTATTGTTTGTCACATACACGTTACATGCAGTTACATTATCACACTGTATGTACCTCCGGCAGATGTACAGGACAGTATTCAGAACACACAACAACAGAAGAACACAGAAACAGAGTTAGGCCCTCTCTACACAATCTTAGTTTCCAAGAAGATTTTCACTTTTTACACCATGTAAGTCAGACAAAAGAGACGCGGAAAACTTTTACTATGAATGATTTGATTCTCCAAATATAAGGAACTTTACCTCTGTAGAAGAAACTTGACGACTGAAACATCAGTGAGACATTTAACCTGGACTTTCAACGTCATTGTGTGAAAGAATCTCCCATAAACACTCTGGTCTCTACTCACATATCACCAGAATGATTGACAGTTAGGAGGACCAAAAGTCTAGATGAGGAAACAAAATTAGCTTTTTTACTTTTAAGTTCATTAAGATGTATGTGAAGGTCTGTGGCATTATCATTTCACGACATATATAATTACATCGCCACATTATCATTTTTTTTCACCAACAATAACAGTTTTTTCTTTCCAGATGAGCACCTTTTGGACAGTGAGGCTGAATACGTTCATTGGATGGTGTAAGTTTCATGCTGATTGAACATCTGTTGGATCAGGTTGGAATAGCTTCAGTCACTGCTGGACACTTGATACATCACTAAAGCAGAGCTCAGGGAGTTACAGACTCACTCTTCTTCACATTTACTGACCGCTGAATCCTAAAGACCTCATAGAATCACTGCTGTCATTGGATAAACAACAATTACTGAGTCTGTTTTTCTATGTCCTTGTTCATGCTTCACCAACATTATTCAAAACTGTAGATTTGTTAAAGGTTTGCAGGAGGATTTTCCAACAATTTTAGGAAAGAACTGCCCTCCATTTTGATTGACTGTGGTGAGGACCAATAGCCTTCAAGATCCACCCAGAAGTAGAAAATCCTCCAATAAACCTTTAACCCTTGTGCCGTCCTCGACACATTGACTGAGAAGCACCCTAAATAATTGTTTTTTGTGCTGAACTTTTATGATTTTCTTCCTAACTTGACCTGCCCTGTGTCATTTAGACCTAATTTAGGGTTTAAGAGTTTCTACTTTCAATCACTGTGGTGGATATTTTTGACTTGAGGGTAGCACAAGGGTTAAGCTGATATCTTAATAGTATTTAATAAATCCTATTTTTATCGAATGATCCTGCAGTATCATCTATGTCTGTATTTCTCATCATGAATACATTTAAAATAACCCCTCCCCTTGGAATAAGCAGCAATAGTGAGATTTGCAGGAGGAGAATAGTTCGACCAATGGGGAAGGGCGTGGATCAAGGATTTGACTTTGACTAACTGGAGCTTGCTTTTAAAAACCTTCTTTCCATCTTCACAATTTACTTTAGAGCAGAGAACTTTATAGTAAGAAGGCCACTTTAGTTCATGAGATAAGATATACTTTAATCGTAGTGCAGGTTTTTCTTTTACAGTCTTAATGCAGTGACTTGTTGTACAGTCTGACAGCGGTGGGGACCTGGTGCCGACAACCTGGGTTTAAAAACTGGATTGGAGCTGGATTGACTGGATTCTGGAATTTCAAATGGGTTCTGATATGTTCTTATTGATTCACAGCTGCATTTTATTTGGAATGTTGTGACACAATCATAAAACAAATGACAGTAAATAACAATAGAGTGCAAGATTGTATTGGTGAAGCTGAAGTTGGTTGAATGACACTGTCAAAGTACCTCAATAGCGACTTTGTGTTTGCAGCAGAAGGCCACATAAAATGACTCAGGGGGCCGCAATTGGCCCGCAGGCCTGGGTTTGGGCATGCTTGCTTTAGAGTGACGCTCTGTCTCCTTTGGTCTGTGTTCAGGGGGAACATCCCAGCAGGAGCGGTGCAGTCGGGGGACGAGCTGTGTCACTACCTGCCGCCCTTCCCCCCCAGAGGCACAGGCTTCCACCGCTACATCTACGTCCTCTTCAAACAGAACCGACCCATCGACTTCAGGGAGGACGCACGCCCGGCTCCATGGTAACCACCGCCCACCTGACCTCACATCGGTGCAATAATCAATGTCAGAATGTGCAAAACAGAACCACACGTGTCCACTGTCACCGTGTCCCATTCTGCCAACATTAGAGATTAGGTTTGAGATTTTTACTTCTTCATCCCCTTTGTCTGTTTCTGGGTGGCAATTAGAGCTGTCAGCCATTCCTCATAGCACCAGCCCCTCACTGATGCTGGTGGGGGCTTCAGACAAAGTTGGGTTAAGTTAGGGCTGGGCGATATAACGATATATATCGCGATAGACATGTGTTCGATATCAATAGAGAATGGGGTCGATAGAATGTTCGATAGTTTAACTTAACTCCGTCAGGAAAAACAGGAAGAAAACACCGGAAGTAAAGCCGACTCATAAGCGCATGGCATTGTGGGGGATGTAGGCAGAGGCTTCTCGACCAATAACAGCCGAGCAGGAACCGCAAAACTTTGTGGGAAATGCAAAAACAACAACAACCGCAGCATGCGTAGCGTCCATGGATCTATAGCTCGTGTTTCAATGCCGTGTCAATGGTTATGCACGTACGTGCACGGAATAACATGTGCGGCGGCAGAGGCAGTGGACAGACACGATGTATTCGGCGAAAACAAGAGATTAACTTTTTCCTCGGGAAGCATGTGCGGCACAGAGAGCCGCACGGAGCGGTCACGGGGACACAAGACCCTCAAACAGCTAAACCCGGAGCTAAACCAGGAATAAAAAACCAGGATTAAACCAGGACTAACAACGAGGGACACAGTGTGAACATATTCCTCCAGCCTCATCGCCCCGTGACTGTAAACAAGGCTGCTAAGGTTGGTTAGCCCACACCACAAATATATTTATTTAGGTAAAAAAAAAAAAACTCAATATATATCGTTATTGACCGATATGAATGACTTATATCGTCATTTGTTTTCAGCCATATCGCCCAGCCCTAGGTTAAGTGTCTTGCCCAGGGACACAGCAGACATCAGTGAGAGTAGATGGAGCCGCTCTCGTGCGGGGATCAAACCCACAACCATTGACCCCCTGTACTTACTCCTTTTATTATGCTGAAGTGGGGCGACAGTAGCTCAGTTGGTAGAGCATGGGCCTTTGAGCCTGAAGATCGTGACTTTCTCCACTGTTTCCCACTGATGTCTGCTGTCGTTGTGTCCTTAGGCAAGACACTTCACCCCCATTGCCTAGAATGAGTCTGGTGTGTGTGTGAATGGTTGGTGGTGGTGGGAGGGGCCTAGGCACAGACCGGTTGCCTCGCTTCTGTCAGTGTGCCTCAGGGCAGTTGCGGCCACAGTTGTAGTTTATCACCACTGTGTTTGGAGTGAAAGAATATTGAAATGAGAAGCATCTTTGAGTGTCCAAAAAAAGCGCTGTATAAAACATATTCATTAACATTATTATAGAGAGATTTATTATAGAGATTTTATTTTAGTATAGAGTATTTATTCACTTCCCTTGTGCCGTGTGCTCTTCCTTCCTACTGTCCTGTAACCGCGGATGCAACACTGACATTGTCCTCTGTTCCCAGTCTCTCTCTGGAGCAGCGCACCTTTAAAACAGTGGAGTGGTACAGAAAGCACCAGGATCACATGACCCCGGCAGGACTGGCCTTCTTCCAGAGCCAGTGGGACCCATCCGTCACTCAGACCTTCCACCACACACTGGGTCAGTCACGTCCCAGAGAGAAGGTCACACTGGGCGGGTTCACAGGGAACGACATTGATATTATCGCGATTCTTAATATATCGCGATACAGACAATATCATGATTTGATTCTGTGATTTATCGCGATACATGTTCCATGAAATTATTTAAAAAAAAACTGTATCTGTGACATTTATTATGGGTCTGTCGCAACAAGCTGACATCATAGAGTCACAAAAAGTAGAGATCATAGTCACAACAAGCTGACATCATAGAGTCACAAAAAGTAGAGATCATAGAGTCACAACAAGCTGACATCATAGAGTCACAACAAGTAGAGATCATAGAGTAACAACAAGCAGACATCATAGAGTCACAACAAGCAGAAATCATAGAGTCACAAAAAGTAGAGATCATTGAGTCACAACAAGCTGACATCATAGAGTCACAACAAGTAGAGATCATAGAGTAACAACAAGCAGACATCATAGAGTCACAACAAGCAGACATCATAGAGTCACAAAAAGTAGAGATCATAGAGTCACAACAAGCAGACGTCATAGCGTCACAACAAGCAGACGTCATAGAGTCACAACAAGCAGACGTCATAGAGTCACAACAAGCAGACGTCAGAGTCACAACAAGCAGACGTCAGAGTCACAACAAGCAGACGTCATACAGTCACAACAAGCAGACGTCATAGTCACAACAAGCTGACATCATAGAATCACAACAAGCAGAGATCATAGAGTCACAACAAGCAGACATCATAGAGTCACAACAAGCTGACATCATAGAATCACAACAAGCAGAGATCATAGAGTCACAACAAGCAGACATCAGAGTCACAACAAGCAGAAGTCATAGAGTCACAACAAGCAGACATCATAGTCACAACAAGCAGACATCATAGAGTCACAACAAGCAGACATCATAGAGTCACAACAAGCAGACGTCATAGAGTCACAACAAGCAGACGTCATAGAGTCACAACAAGCAGACGTCATAGAGTCACAACAAGCAGACGTCATAGTCACAAGCAGACGTCATAGTCACAACAAGCAGACATCATAGAGTCACAACAAGCAGACATCATAGAGTCACAACAAGCAGACGTCATAGTCACAACAAGCAGACGTCATAGAGTCACAACAAGCAGACGTCATAGAGTCACAACAAGCAGACATCATAGTCACAACAAGCAGACGTCATAGAGTCACAACAAGCAGACGTCATAGAGTCACAACAAGCAGACGTCATAGAGTCACAACAAGCAGACGTCATAGTCACAACAAGCCGACATCATAGAATCACAACAAGCAGAGATCATAGAGTCACAACAAGCAGACATCATAGAGTCACAACAAGCTGACATCATAGAATCACAACAAGCAGAGATCATAGAGTCACAACAAGCAGACATCATAGAGTCACAACAAGCAGACATCATAGAGTCACAACAAGCAGACGTCATAGAGTCACAACAAGCAGACGTCATAGAGTCACAACAAGCAGACGTCATAGAGTCACAACAAGCAGACGTCATAGAGTCACAACAAGCAGATGTCATAGTCACAACAAGCAGACGTCATAGAGTCACAACAAGCAGACGTCATAGTCACAACAAGCAGACATCATAGAGTCACAACAAGCAGACATCATAGAGTCACAACAAGCAGACGTCATAGAGTCACAACAAGACATCATAGAATCACAACAAGCAGACGTCATAGAGTCACAACAAGCAGACGTCATAGAGTCACAACAAGCAGACGTCATAGAGTCACAACAAGCAGACATCATAGAATCACAACAAGCAGAGATCATAGTCACAACAAGCAGACATCATAGAGTCACAACAAGCAGACGTCATAGTCACAACAAGCTGACATCATAGAATCACAACAAGCAGAGATCATAGTCACAACAAGCAGACATAAGAGTCACAACAAGCAGACATCATAGAGTCACAACAAGCAGACATCATAGAGTCACAACAAGCAGACATCATAGAGTCACAACAAGCAGACGTCATAGAGTCACAACAAGCAGACATCATAGAATCACAACAAGCAGAGATCATAGTCACAACAAGCAGACGTCATAGAGTCACAACAAGCAGACGTCATAGAGTCACAACAAGCAGACGTCATAGAGTCACAACAAGCAGACGTCATAGAGTCACAACAAGCAGACGTCATAGTCACAACAAGCAGACGTCATGGAGTCACAACAAGCAGACGTCAGAGTCACAACAAGCAGACGTCATAGAGTCACAACAAGCAGACATCATAGAGTCACAACAAGCAGACGTCAGAGTCACAACAAGCAGACGTCATAGAGTCACAACAAGCAGACGTCATAGAGTCACAACAAGCAGAAGTCATAGAGTCACAAGCAGACGTCATAGAGTCACAACACAAAAAGCAGACATCAGCTGGAAATGACTGGCATAAACTCAATTGAAACCCAAAAGTGAAACAGATAATTATTGAATTAAATATCGCGATACTGAATAGAATCGACTCTTTCCCCACCTCTAATAAACTCTGCCATTGACTTCCTGCGTCTCCTCTTCTTTCCGCAGACATGAAGGAGCCCGTGTATGAGTTCATCCGGCCCCCGACGTACCAGCCCCCTCAGGTCAAGTTCCCACACAGACAACCTCTGCGTTACCTGGACCGTTACCGCGGCGACAAGCCACACACCTACGGCATCTACTGACCTCTGTCATCATTATCTGTGTTGAATAAATGTCAGATTTTTGCAACCTGTGCCTAAAGACTCAATCTCATTCCAAACACGAGCATTATTTTCTGTTATTTACAAGATTTAATCAAGAACACAGGATTTATCACCAGACCTGACACACACACACACACACACACACACACACACACACACACACACACACACACACACACACACACACACACACACACACACACACACACACACACACACACACACACACACACACACACACACACACACACACACACACACACACACACACACACACACACCCCTGTGAGCTGGATGAATAGCACAGACTTATAGATATTAGTTAGTGGTGCAAACAAATTGAGAATAGCATTTGTGGAGCAGTGGAATTAGATTTAGAGATCCTGTATTCGTCCCACTGCGGGGAAATGTCAGTGTTGCATTACTAGTTACACAAGAGTAGGAAGGAGGAGCACACTGCACAAGATAGGTGAACAATAACTCTATACTCAAATCAAATCTCTAGCTTTAGCATGAGATAGAAGCCATTGTACAAGACAAATACTGTAGTTGTATCTGTACATTAGCAGCAGGAGGGTCTAGGACACGGTAACACATGTGGCTCTATGCTACACATACAAGGACTGGGCATCACTAAACTGCTGTCATCGCTCTCTGGAAAAAAACAAAGCACAAATGTATAAATTTTTAAAGAAGAAATAAATCCATTAGAAACAAAAATTGTGTTTTGTTATTGATTCAGAAAACTATGTATCCCAAAAGGACATACATCTGCAGCAGAATCTCAGAGCAAAACACACCAATTCTACACAAACACACACGTACACACAAACACACTCTACAAAGACAGGCCTCACAGGTTTCAATATGAGTTCATACAATATACCTGTGTGTGATATCCAGCTTTATTATACTGTTTGCTGCATTTCACTTAATCTGTCATAATAATAAATTGCTCTTTTCCAATACTTCTTTAACTGATAACAGTAGTTCAGAGATATTCGAATTTCTAAGTTACTTTTCCAGCCCCTAAATCTTGTTATTGTTTTCATTTCAATGTCCCGCCCTCCACCGTTTCACCAATCAGAAAGTCTGTGATCCGGGCGCCAGAACTCACCGCGTGGAGCTAATCTCACTGGTAAAGTACCATGTGGCGCAGAACTAAAAAAGGTCTCGTTATGATTCTCAAATCATTAACGACAAAACAAGGAATAAATCCAGGATTTGTATCTTTGTGAAAAAGGTGTTGTTTATAGATTTGTTGTTGACAAAACTCTTATCTATTCAGCTGTTATGGTCCCAGCTGGATTCGTCTGCATATCTGGCAACCTGAGTCAGGGAGAGTGGGAGAGGCTGCAGTACCACTTTTGGCCAATTTTTTTGTTTAACACACTGCTCCTGTAATATTGATGTTAGAATGAATCATTTTTATTTAAATATACATAAAAAACACACTTTATTCCAGAAATATCCTCACCATGCAGTCTGTCCACAATCCTCAGTAATTATCCAACGTATTTAAATAAACTTTTTTTTTAAAACCCATAAAAGAGATATGGAGTGTACTTTACTACGACCTCTAACGCCAGCTTACGTGGGGATCTATCTTATTATTGCATTACTTTGATCATATAAGTCACAAACATACCTAATATTGCATGACCTCAAACAAAGTTCGTCTTGCATATGCCACCTTGTACCCGCGGATGACCAGCAGGGGGCGCTGATGAAAGGGTTGAAATAGGCCTCTCGTCAGCCTCACGAGCAGCAGCTGTACCTGTGTGTCCTGAATCTGCTGAGATGGGAGCAGTCTGGATCTGGTCTTTCTGTCTTTTTGGAATAATCACAGGTAAAAAAAGCATTTACACTCCTATGTTCAGGTTCATGTTCTGCAAGTATTCTGAATCTTACACTTCTGATAAAACTAGTTGGGAGCAGTGACGGGAGTTGGAATGAAATCAATGGCGTGAACGGTAAGTTTTTATTATTTGCCAATTCTGTAAATACATTGGTGGCCAGTTTATGTGGTAATGAGAGGAGTATGTGTTTCAGGGTCCAAACCGTCTTTCGATGGGAATTCCATAACTAATGATCTGGAGAAATATTTCACCAAGGTGGATTCCAATGCAACAGAGGGTAAGTTAATGGAGATTTCTTCATTTACTCTATATTTGTACCATATTTTTAAACCTAAACTGATATAGTAATGTAACTTTGATCATTTATATACTTAAAAGCTCTGGAGTCTGTACTGTCTTGGAAGAGGGTCTTACTGTATACTTTCACATGTGCGGTACTTTTATTTGACCTATATTTACTCCTCACATTTGATCTGTATTCTACACTTTTAAAATGACTTTACATTATTAGCAACGGCTCACGAATAGCCAAGCTAGTTAATTGATTTGTAATTGTGAGAAGCCAGCGTTTTGGGTGGCTCCTAAAATGTTTCAATTGTAACTTGCAACATTGATAAAAGTCCTTGGTAGCCCATTACATATTAAAGAACAACCAAATTGTTTTACCAACACATGAATATGAATGGTTTATTTAAAGGCTTGGAGTTATCTTTTCTGTAACAACTGATTGGTAAGATATTTATGATGAGGTTCTAGGCATGTCCAGAAACTACATAACGTTACTACTTTTGGGCTCTTAAGAACATTTCCACACATTATTTTAAAAATTACATCCGTATAAATCTGTATTTTTACTTTTTAACAATGTTAACTTTTGGTTGAAATAAAAAAAAAACCCATTTGGTATTCATAAAATAATGGTGAAGCTCATGTGAAAGTGATGTCTGAATAAAGTTATTTAGACATGACTTTATTCTGTCACTGCAGAAACATCTATTTCAATTACTGCTGTACATGTTTATAAAACTGATAATCCAGCCCTTGAATTTGCACTAGTCTCTCTTCAGACTTGTCTAATAGTACAAATGTTCAGTCAAAACTGCAATAACAAGTCATACGCTCCAGAACTTTAGAAGATGACTCTAGTTTCCTTAACACAAATATCTATAACCTGTATTATACTTTTCATTATTCTAACTGTGATGCTGTGTCTTTGCAGATCAAATGAAAAGCAATGCAGTTGAAGGCACAGAAATGCAAAAGGTTAGTCTCGTCCTTTTGTGTCTGACAAGTCTCACGCTATAGCACCTCGGGAACCCACAAACCAGGGGCCGTATTCTTAAAGATTCTTAGCGCTAAGAGTTGCTCCTAGTGGCCAAATTCTAAGAATATTCTCAGAATCTTGACCTACTCTAAAAATTTCCCCTAAAAAGTCAATTATGTGACCAGCTTTTTATAGGCTGGTCAGCGATCACAGCTGTGCCATTCTACTCTTGTTACATGAACGTGAGAAATGATAAAAGTTGTGTAAGTGGGCCTAAGTTCACATTTTCAGTATGAATGAATACAGAAACGACAGAATATAAAAACAATACATAAAATATATTTGTATATTATCAACAAATCCAGCTCAAGTGGGACTTTTAAACTTCCTCCCCCTATTTATTCTAAATTAACCTATGTTATTTGGTTGCAACAGCTTAGCTTAGTCAGTGGTATATTTATGCAGCAGTGACACTCACAACAATATGCACTTTATTTGTACAGTGTATGTTTGTTTCCTTAAGTCTTTCAGTATCATAGACTTTACTAATACACTCATGTATTCATATCTATAATTTTCTATATCATAATTAAATGATTTTAAGATCTTATGTAAATTTCAAATTGGTGCTGAGTCGTAGCGTCCACAGATCTGCCTCCAGAGGGAGCAGCCTGTGAACAGACCATACTTTGCTACAGGTCCTTTGATGTGCATTTAAAGACATTATTTATGATTTTAAAAGTATAACTTGCTATTCACAGCATTCATTTTACATTGACACTATCTTATCTATCATGTGGAATATGTAGTTATACAGTCTTCCATGAATAATTTTGTCCATTCTGAGGGTCCTTATTTTGCCCATTATACAAACAAAAATGTCTCCAACTTTTAGGATCAACCAGTGTCTGAAATTGACTCAAACCTAGCAACAGGGTTGGCCACGCCTCCTCACTAAGATAGGAGTTTTTGTCCATTCCTTGCTCAGTTCTCTGAGAATGTTCTGGAATAACTTTTTAAGCTAAGACTCCTAGCTAAGTTAGGAACTCTCTGCGAGGACTCAATCTTTAGGCATACGGCCCCAGGTCTGTTCTGTGGTTGAATAAGTCTAATCGGATCTAATTGTTTTGCCTTTTTCAAAATTGGACAAAAATTTTAAAGGTAACAAATGTAGTATGCACTATAGTGGTCTAAAGTAAATGGTCAACCCAAATGACTAAGGTAAATAATGTAGACATTGTAGTTATTCTTTATTCAAAAAAGGGACACAAACAGTTCAGTAAATGTCATTGGACTTGGATACTCACCTTTTTATAAGTTAATGTTGACAAATGCAAGCTGCAAGTGTCTTGGGCAAGATGCTTGACCACACTTTCCCTGAAGCCCCCCTTAAACCACAAGGCTGTGTCTCCATTGGTGGAGCAGCCATCTTCCTGTGGACCCACCACCTGCAGTAGGCTCAGTGCGGGGCTGGTGCTATGAGCAATGGGTGACTGTCTGATTGGCTTAAAGGGAAGAAGGTGGATGGTTGGTTTGTCACGGTCGAGGTGGTCCCAGTGTAGCCCCATAACTTATCAATATTACAACAACAAATCTGTTTTAAATCTGGTTACCCTGAATTCATTAAGAAGGAACCAAAATAAAAATGACAAATTTACATCATTACACGTTGTTTACACTGAGCTAAAATGACCTCCTCTGGATGAGTGCAGCTTTCTTGGTGGAAAGGAAGATGTGAGGTTTTTATCTTAATAAACAAATGTATTGTGATCACTCAAATATCCCTGAAGCTGAGTTCCAGGTGAACTTTCTCTGGGCTCCACAAAGTAGGTCATTTCAACGTAAGATAAAGTTAAAGCATTGCTGCTTATGACCCTGAAAAGAGCGGTTCTTTTTATTCAAATTGTATGATTTTTAAACTTCAATATTTGTTCAAATAGATCAGTAAAGTGTCTGTGAACTCTACCCATAACAACGGTGAGCAGTCTTCTGGCAACGCCACTCTCGGCGACGTGTCTTCTGGCAACGCCACTCTCGGCGACGTCCATCCCTCTTCTGGCAACGCCACTCTCGGCGACGTCCATCCCTCTTCTGGCAACGCCACTCTCGCCGACGTCCATCCCTCTTCTGGCAACGCCACTCTCGCCGACGTCCATCCCTCTTCTGGCAACGCCACTCTCGCCGACGTCCATCCCTCTTCTGGCAACGCCACTCTCGCCGACGTCCATCCCTCTTCTGGCAACGCCACTCTCGCCGACGTCCATCCCTCTTCTGGCAACGCCACTCTCGCCGACGTCCATCCCTCTTCTGGCAACGCCACTCTCGCCGACGTCCATCCCTCTTCTGGCAACGCCACTCTCGCCGACGTCCATCCCTCTTCTGGCAACGCCACTCTCGCCGACGTCCATCCCTCTTCTGGCAACGCCACTCTCGCCGACGTCCATCCCTCTTCTGGCAACGCCACTCTCGCCGACGTCCATCCCTCTTCTGGCAACGCCACTCTCGCCGACGTCCATCCCCCTCTTCTGGCAACGCCACTCTCGCCGACGTCCATCCCTCTTCTGGCAACGCCACTCTCGCCGACGTCCATCCCTCTTCTATGAAGGTTTGGATTTACTTCATGAATAAATTTTGTTTCTAATTTGGATCAATAATGAGACTTGACATTTCCACATCTGGGCCAGGGCTGTAATGTCCCACATATACTTAGAGAAGTTAATATAACGTGTAATAGTCCAATATCCACCTTGATGGGAGTGTTTTCCGGGTAAAATATCAAGTAATGTACAGCTTTAGTGTCATACATCCAGAAGCTCTAATGTGAAGAATCTTTTTGTATTTATACTTGTCTGTTTTTACAGATTAGTCCAGTCACTGTGAACACCACACAGAATGATGGTCAGAAATCCCTGGGGATCGGCCAGGTGCCAGTCTCGGAGGGAGGCAGTGATCCAATGGCCATCCTTGCCCCGGGTAATGGCCAGGTGGCTTTCCTGAACGGACACCTTGCAATCATGGCTGCTGGAGGGCAAATGACTTCGTTGGGTGGGTCTGGGGGACAGGTGTTGGGTGGGTCTGGGGGACAGGTGAGCTCGTGGCGTGGGTCTGGGGGACAGGTGAGTTCGTTGCGTGGGTCTGGGCAGCAGGTGGCCTCATTTTTTGGTCCTGGTGGGGCGCAGGTGGCCACATTAGTTGGCAACGAAGGGGGGCAAGTGGCCACAATAGTTGGCAACGAAGGGGGACAGGTGGCCACTGTGGTTGGCAGCCAGACAGACTCTTTTGGTCAAAAGAGGGTCTATGCAGATGTGGGAAATGTGACACATGGGTGGAATAATTCCACAAGAGTAAAGAAGGAAGTTGATAATATTGTTTCTTGGAAGAATATAACCCTACTTGATGTAATTATGGGAAATGCTACAAATGATTGGACAAACTATACATTGTCAAATAGTCATTCCAATATTCCTGGTTATGTCAACCTTACAGATGGTGATATTGACCCAAAAAGCAAAAACTCATCCAGTGTACAGATCAGCAGGAAAGTGAGGAGAGAACTGACTTTATAATAGGAAGCTGGTCTAATGCAGAAGTTTGTTGAAACTGTTGTAAAGCATTCCCAATTGTTTTTCAATAAAACATTTTAACCTAAATGGTGATTCGTCTATTGCTTTTAATTCATATTTTCCAGGGATGTGCAGGTGCACAAAGTTGTAGGATATTCTTGCAGTTTGTTTCAAATGTTGTACGCGGTCAAATAACTATTCTATTGTGCTCCCCTTGGGTCAAAATGACCTGCCAGTGATTAAAAGTAGACTATTAGGATATGGGTTAGTCTTGTCTTAGTAAAAGTGTAACTCTAAATCGGACGACGGGTTATTACTTTGACATGTTTTGACGGAGCCAATGTTGAGCATTTTTAGGAATTTCAGCTCAAGCATTAAGTTAGCTTATCAGAGGTCTTTCCTTTTCTAGACTTGGAAAGACTTGAGGGGGGAAAAGCCATCCCAGACTCAACGATGGCTACATGGCCATCGTTGAGTCCATCCTCAATCACTGTGTGGTTCACTGGTGCCAGTCAGGGAAAAGCGGAGACTACAGCGCCTCGTGCTCTCTGCAGAGAAGGTGATTGGCCGCAGGACCTGTACGACGCTTGAGGCCGGGCTGGTCACATCACAGCCGACCCCTCACCTGCACATGGACTGTTCCAACCTCTCCCCTTGGGCAGGAGACTACGGCCCATTCGGACCAGAACCTACCGCCATAAGTTTCTTCCACTCTGCTGTTGGACTCTTGAACACTTCATAATCTGTCCCCCCCGCCCTTTATAAAGTCTCTTTACTGCTGTCACTGTATGCTTACTGCATTTTGTGTGCATATGTATATTGTATGTAGTAATAATTCTATTTCAAATTGTAAATCTTAGTGTGCAAATTTTTTGTCTCTGTACCTCTTTTTTGGCTGTTGCACAGAGCTAGAGCAAATTCCTAGTCTAACTTCCTATTACTTACATGGCAATAAAAAATATTCTGGTCCTGAGCCTTGCACATGTGCCCAGAAACTCAAATGATTTCAGCTGAACTGCTCAGAAGGGTGATGGTGAGGTCCCCAAGTGTCACAGGTGAGGGAGATGAGGGCCCCAAGTGTCACAGGTGAGGGCTGTAGCCACCATTTTGCACCAGAGGTTTGTGTGTGGGAACGTGGCACAGAGACCTGAGCAACAGTGAATGTAGTCCTTGTGTCCGTGCATGAACAGGCCGAATCTCTATGGACGACAATGCTTCAGCTCATTACTAGGCCGCACAGTTACAGAATGGCTGCTGGAGACGGGTTGACCTATCACTGAGTGGCCTGCACCTTTGTGAAAGATTATAAAAGGTCTTTTTAATGCAATATATACATTTACAAGAAGGTCCTGGGTTCAAATCCTGGTTGGAGCAGGTTCTCCAGCTCTGATCCTGATCAAACCAAGCATCTGTAAATGGGTCCCCGGGCGCTGTACTAAAATCATCCCAATAAATTACGATCACTAAATAATCCATTGTCCATTGTGACAGCTATAATGCTGACAAGATTATATACATTATTGATCTCACAATGGACAAATTTGGTTCAATTAATACACTTGGCATGCAGCATACTAATACTTTCACACTTCTTATAGGAAAAGTGGGGTTGAGTGTTTTGCCCAAGGACAAAACAGCAGAAGTCAGTGGTCTTGCAGTGAGCTCAAACCCACAACCTTCAGACTCAAAGGCCAATGCTCTACCAACCGAGCAACTGTCGCAGGGAGTCACAAGGACCAAAACTTAAACTGTTCGAATAACTATCTTTTTCCTTTTCTTCTTATTTTCCATTCCTCTTGCATTGTTGTACTCACTGCTCTGTCTTGAGCTCAGAGGGCATCACTCTTCCCATTCTTTCTCCTGTTTGTCTCCACACAGATAAAAAACAAGGGAATATTCTACTTTTGTGGGCGTGGCTTCAGTTTCTCTCAGCCAATCACAACCCTGCACCTGTAAACCTATAAAGTCTCTTTCAATTGTTTCCAGCTGTGTGAGTTGTGGCCTGCGCTGTGTGTACCTGTGGATCTGCTAACGGAACATCTTCTCTGCCCTACAGCGAAATGGCAGTGCTTTGGATCCTGTGTTTCAATCTACTTGCTCTTGGGACAGTCAGCGGTATGTGGCTTTATTTTATTGTTGGGTTTTATTTCAAACCTTTCTTAAATTGACTTGTCTTTTATTACTAGTTGCTAGCAGTCATGAGCATTGGAATGAAATAAAGAATAGCTCAACAGGTAACTATTGCCTGCTTTTTAGAGTTATGTCTCAATGTGCTGAAGTTTTTTTGTTTCCAGAATCTTCAGAAGAGGATCAAGAGGATACCCTGAAGAATTTCATTGCATTGCTTAAAATTGTTTCCAACAAACCTGACGGTATTTCAATCGCCATTTTTAACCTCACACTTAAACCCTCACCCGTAAATTATTCTCTCGTTAAAATGTAGTGCATCAGTGAGTTCTTACAAACACGCTTGTTTGCACCGCTTAAACATTTATAACAATTATAATTGTTGCACCAAAGCATGGTATTGCTATCCGGATCATCTCACCACACCTGTTGTAATCAAAGCCTAATGCTGCATTGTCTCTGTTCCGTCATACAAAACCTGCTCTATTCGGTGAAGAAATTGTAACATAACATTTGTGTATTTACCAAAATAAGGTTTTGGCTGTGGGATAAGTCTTGCCGTGAACACATGTATGTACTAGCAATGTAAATATATATTTGTTGATGGTCCTAAAAGCTCCCTCACAAAGAGAATTTGCTTTACACCCTGTTGGACCATTATTTTTAAACCCTCTGGTTTCTATAATAGTTGGGACTAGGCGGCCAATGATATTTGGTTGGTGTGAACTCCTCACATTATGTCCTAAATGTATCTTGCTTCTGCACATTCATTGGCTACATCGCAAATTTTTTCCTCCTGTATGTCAAATGTCTATCAACCTTGGCCCTACTTTTTTCACTTGTGAAATATTTACCTTGACTTCTGTTTGTGTTGTCATTACAGTTCATTTGCAAAGCAATGGAGTGGAAGCAGAAGCAGTGCAAAAAGTGGTTCAAGAGTATGTCCACAATCTGTCTCACCATGAGCACACTGAGTTAAAGGGGCAAAATGTGAACAAGGTATTTGACTTTAAACTGGAGTTTGCAGTTTTAGGCTTGCGGACGACAAATTAGTCGGATGTTTATCACGGCCATTTAGCCCCAGAAAGATTGTTACTGAAGTTTCCTTTTCAATGCAAGTGAATATACTTCCATGAGCACTTTCCTACTGGAAAACAGTTAGTATTGTCAGTCTGTTTGCTATGGTGTTTTTGCCTTTTCTGAGTGAAATACAAATGTTGGCTCTGAATCTGTAAATCAACATGTACTTTAGTAACCTTGACGATCAGTTAAGTTTCCACAAAATTACGTCCGTGAACACTTTGACACTAACGCTTCCTTAATGTCCAGACGAGCTCCGGCGCTAAGAACAAAGGTCTAAGCTGCAACTCCACCCTCGCCGACGCCGGCCGCAACTCCTCCCTCGCCGACGCCGGCCGCAACTCCTCCCTCGCCGACGCTGGCCGCAACTCCTCCCTCGCCGACGCTGGCCGCAACTCCTCTGGCCGCAACTCCTCCCTCGCCGACGCTGGCCGCAACTCCTCCCTCGCCGACGCTGGCCGCAACTCCACCCTCGCCGACGCTGGCCGCAACTCCACCCTCGCCGACGCTGGCCGCAACTCCACCCTCGCCGACGCTGGCCGCAACTCCACCCTCGCCGACGCTGGCCGCAACTCCACCCTCGCCGACGCTGGCCGCAACTCCACCCTCGCCGACGCTGGCCGCAACTCCACCCTAAAAGTGATAGTTTTTCAGTTACCCTAAATAAAGAATCTAAACTTGACTAGTGTTTGTTTTTTACATCCTCTATTTTATTTACAACTCAATCCCAACAGTAGTTCTCAGACTTTAAAAGGTTGATTTGCCAACTTGGCTCAGAGAAACACAAATGCAATGAATAAAAATGCCATAGGGGGCAGATGACCAATGTTAATTGGTGTTGAATCTGACCAAAACAACCTGTTTCAGCGCATTAGCCACAACTGACATTTTGCAGTGCGGTTAATTATACTAACAGGCAAGGACATAAGCTTTTATCTGATACCTGCTCGTCACAAAGACAAGACGACAATGGCCAGCGGCAATCAACCAAAAGGACTGGGACCCATCCAAGTACTCTCCAATATGCAGTGAACACTTTTTACAAGATAAAGCCATCACAAGTTATTTTATTTCCATTAATGTGGAGGACAATGGCACACTACTGTTCTGTATGTGCGCTGCAACATTGACATTTTTATCTAAGTCAATTGCGTGTTTCACTTTTCCTCTGTCAGTACGTATCATGTTTGGCTGTAGACTGAAAAGCCACAAAAAAGTGGACTAATGCTACCAGCAAAATGTACATATACAGTGCCTTGCGAAAGTATTCGGCCCCCTTGAACCTTTCAACATTTCGCCACATTTCAGGCTTCAAACATATTTTTTTTTTTGTCATAAATCAAGTGGGACAAAATTTATTGGATAATTTAAACTTTTTTTAACAAATAAAAAACTGAAGTGCGCCGTGCAATATTATTTGGCCCCTTTACTTTCAGTGCAGCAATCTCAGTCCAGAAGTTCAGTGAGGATCTTTGAATGATCCAATGTTGTCCTAAATGACTTATGATGATAAATAGAATGCACCTGTGTGTAATCAAGTCTCCGTATAAATGCACCTGCTCTTTGATAGTCTCAGGGTTCTGTTTAAAGCGCAGAGAACCATGAAGACAAAGGAACACACCAGGCAGGTCCGAGATACTGTTGTGAAGTTTAAAGCCGGATTTGGATACAAAAAGATTTTCCAAGCTTTAAACATCTCAAGGAGCACTGTGCAAGCAATTATATTGAAATGGAAGGAGTATCAGACCACTGCAAATCTACCAAGACCCGGCCGTCCCTCCAAACTTTCATTTCAAACAAGGAGAAGACTGATCAGAGATGCAGCCAAGAGGCCCATGATCACTCTGGATGAACTACAGATAACTACAGCTGAGGTGGGAGAGTCTGTCCATAGGACAACAATCAGTCGTGCACTGCACAAATCTGGCCTTTATGGAAGAGTGGCAAGAAGAAAGCCATTTCTCAAAGATATCCATAAAAAGTCTCGTTTAAAGTTTGTCACAAGCCACCTGGGAGACACACCAAACATGTGGAAGAAGGTGCTCTGGTCAGATGAAACCAAACTCAAACTTTTTGGCCACAATGCTAAACGATATGTTTGGCGTAAAAGCAACACAGCTCATCACCCTGAACACACCATCCCCACTGTCAAACATGGTGGTGGCAGCATCATGCTTTGGGCCTGCTTTTCTTCAGCAGGGACAGGGAAGATGGCTAAAATTGATGGGAAGATGGATGGAGCCAAATACAGGACCATTCTGGAAGAAAACCTGTTGGAGTCTGCAAAAGACCTGAGACTGGGATGGAGATTTATCTTCCAATGATCCAAAACATAAAGCCAAATCTACAATGGAATGGTTCACAAATAGACGCATCCAGGTGTTAGAATGGCCAAGTCAAAGTCCAGACCTGAATCCAATCGAGAATCTGTGGAAAGAGCTGAAGACTGCTGTTCACAAATGCTCTCCATTCAACCTCACTGCGCTCGAGCTGTTTTGCAAGGAAGAATGGGCAAGAATTCCAGTCTCTCTATGTGCAAAACTGATAGAGACATACCCCAAGCGACTTGCAGCTGTAATTGCAGCAAAAGGTGGCGCTACAAAGTATTAGCGCAAGGGGGCCGAATAATATTGCACGCCCCACTTTTCAGTTATTTATTTGTTAAAAAAGTTTAAATTATCCAATAAATTTTGTTCCACTTCACGATTGTGTCCCACTCTTTGTTGATTCTTGACAAAATATTAAATTTTTATATCTTTATGTTTGAAGCCTGAAATGTAGCAAAATGTTGAAAGGTTCAAGGGGGCCGAATACTTTCCCAAGGCACTGTAAATCTGCTCCAGTGTAAGGGGATGCATTGTTAACGATAATGATAAAGATCATGTAGGGTGAATTTGGGCAAAAATAGACTTTTATTTATTTTATTTATTTATTTTATTTATTTATTTTTATTTTATTTTATTTATTATTTATTTTATTTAATCGATAAAATTGACTGGGGGGAGAAGGTACGGGTCAACATCCAGTTAGGCAATCCTTAACTTCTCCAAATACCACTCTTTGTGAGCCCTGGCCTGATGTCCTACTTCCACCTATAACGTAATCGAACATTGCTTGAAGCAGCCACTTTTCGATTTAGCTCCGTTTTTAAGAGTTGTGTCCGTTTTGCTCTCGCTAGTTTCCAATAGTAGTTTCCAATACTTCTGCCGTAAGCTCATTCACAATCACGTGACTGGATGACGTTGATGCATCTGGTCAATAGCTAGTTTGTCTGAAAGACGGGTGATCCAGGACTCAAACATTCTACATTATTCACCATTCATGGACATTGGTCAACTCTGGTATGGATCAATACCTGTGTTCTAAAAATGTTATATTTTCCTGATCCATGTTGGCAATTCAAACACTAAGGTATTTGTGTGAACTGATAGTTTTGAGAACTAGTTTGAAGATTTCTCATGGTTAAGTGGTATTAAGTATGCGTGAAAAGTTTGTATAGAAAAATTTGCTGATATTACTTATGCAATATCCTGAGTAATAACTTATGTAATATAAGGGTACAACGATAACTAAATGTACACCAGCACGAGGTGCATGCCACAACAACCAAAATATTGTTTCTCAAATGGTTCATCAATTAGTATGTGTATTTAACCACAAATTCACTTTAATGCTACATTTATTTTTCACAGCAAAGTACAGTGGTATTTACTCACAAAATAGAAAAATGTGTAATTTCCTTTATCATCTATTGGTTGTTCAAAATTACACACAATACAGAGAACACCATATTGCTGGATGTTTTCTTGCTTTAATGACAAATGGTATGGAGGACCAAAAATGACTAAAGTATAAATAAATAAATAAATAAATACAGGAATATATTAATAAATACATTCATTTTGGACAATAAAAACTAAATATTTACATTGATGTGTTAAATATTACTATGAAATCAAATAAATATACTTTTATTTAGGTTATTTATCAAAATATACATTTTTTCCTTTATTTATTTATCCATTTATTGCGTTTGTCTAGAGTCTTCTCACAGCTCTATACTTTTGCAAGTAATTTTTTTAACCAAGCTTTTAACTCTAGTTTTATCAAGCGTTATCGTAGGATTAGGTGGATTTTAACAGCTATTTGCAACCAGGACTGCTGTCATTCCCATCTGGACTAAATATCGAGCTTTTAACAGCCACCAGCGGGAAACTGCTACCATGGATACAGCACCGCCTCCACCAAACATATACAAGGAGATCTACAAATCACAACTCACTGCAATGCTCCCAACAAAACCACCACACACAATGACGCCTGAGGAACTTCAACTCAACATCTCCAAACTCTCAACGGAACTCAGACACAAAGAAAAACTGCTCGAATATTTTTGGACATTGCATTTAGACAATCACAACACATATCACTATCCGCAATCAGACACTCTCAGCACGCATCCACACTTCAGGACACCGCACTCTGGGACCCAATCTTGTGCCCCCACCCGTCCTCCTGCTCTACCCCGCTTCTTACCTCACGCTTCCCGGTGGCGGCTGCTCCTGCTGGCCCCTGCACGTCTGACCCCCCCGACGCGCTCTCCCCGCCGATAGGCCCGGAGCCCGCTTCCCAGAGCGGCGCGGAGCAGAGGCCTGGAGACCCCGGGGTGACAACGTCGACATCCCGTCGCAGGTTAGTGGTGGAGGCAGTCCGCAGACACTCCGGGAGCTTCCCGCGCTTTGACACAGCGAGGGAGCTCCCGAGTGCTGTGCCTAATGTGAGCGGTGAGGCAACCCCGGGGGGATTTCCTCGCGGTGACCCCGCGCGGGCTGTCCCCGGGGCTGCTATCTCTGGTGTGGGAGGGTCTGTGCGCTCTGACGCGGAGGGGAGTCCTGACAGCGCGGCTTATGCCCAGGTACCCGCGGGGAGGCCTCGGCGCTCTGACGCAGCGCCGAGGCCCCCCGTGAACGCTGCCCCATCCGCGGGGGGGTCTCCACGCTCTGACGAGGCGCGGGCCCCCCCCGCGAACGCTGCCTCACCCGCGGGGAGGTCTCAGCGCTCTGACGCAGTGAGGAGACCTCCCGTGCACGTGAAAGCCATTCCGCCTGTTGGGCACCCCTCCAGCCCTGCGCTGGTCCCTCCCACGCCCGCCACCACCACCACTACTGCCACCACCACGGCCAATATGGTCGCCCCGGCTCCAACAAAACATCCGTCTCCGGGTCCTCCATGCTGCTCCACTGCCGCTCATGGGGACTCAGCTCCGGGCACACCCCAGGGCCCCTCTGTACCCCTCTCACCCCCAGCCCCTCCACAGGTGCCTGTCACATCACACCCTCCACAACCCCTCTTCGCTCCCACAACACTGCTGGTGGGTGACTCCATCATCCGTAGATGTAGGTTTTTTAACGCCACCACGCACTGCTTTCCCGGAGCCACAGTCACCACTCTACTTCATACACTTCCTAAACTTCTCCAAACTGCCCCAAGCACAATAACCCGGATCATCGTCCATGTTGGTACCAACGATACATCACTCCGCCAGTCTGAGAACACAAAACTCCATTTTCAGGACCTTTTTAAACTGCTATCAGAGACTGGAAAAACTGTTTTTATCTCTGGCCCTCTGCCCATTCTGGCCCGTGGCGGGGAGCGTTTTAGCA